ATCCAACGCGTTCAGTGCTGTAGTATCGAAGGATTTGACGGTACCACGGACATCGGATTAGTTATAATAAACGATCGGAAATTGATATTGTATTTAGTTTATTCGCTGTTGTTATTATTGTTTTTAGTTTTTGCAGTTACCACAAATTATTCTATAATAATCTTAAATTTCGTTTTCATGTGAGCACACGCCTATGGTAAAAGAACGAAAGTGGCTCCGCTCTTCGTTTCGAGGCACCTGTCGCCAGAACGGTACCTGGAGCGGTCCTGACATGATACCCGGCTGGGCGTGGAGTTGTAAAGGACCGTCCGCTCCTAGGCCGCCTGTCGCACGCAGACCAGAGCCGTAGGGTGCTAGGCCGCCGGAGGATGTATATGGAGTTCCGTTCTCGCTTCCCGAGTTTACTCCTGAGTTCGGAACGTCGCGGGTTCCCTGCATCATCACGACCTTTCCTTTAAGACCAAGATCTCCGAATTTATTATTTGAGTCTCTATGATACTAACTGTCTAACGGGCGCCGCGGGGGTACAACTGGTCACCACGATGGCACTAGGCCGGACCAGAGGGTTCCCTACGCTTCCTAACCTATAAGTATGGATGTCCAATCTCCCTGGAAATACTCCGCTTTGAAACCTCTGATGGTACTGTTGCCTTGAAAAAGGCAATTTCAGTAATTATTTATATCGAATCCACTTTGGGAAGTAATTTGGGGTGTTTGTTTTTATTACTTCCCTAATCCCGGTATAAAGAAACTTCAGCCGAAGACTCCTTTACAATATCAAAGATTTATCCAACCAACTTCCAATATTTCTAACAGTAAAATTCTCGATGTGTACTCTACTATGATCAGAGCCAGACTCTCGCTGCTCTGGCATGAATGAATGAAAATCGTATATTACAAGTTTTTTACAGTTTTTACAATTTTTGTGTGTGTATGTGTTTGTGTAGGACCCTGCTATAGGCTTATGCCTCTTCAGGGTGAGTGAGTTGTGTGTGTGTTTTGTGTTTTATGTTGGTGTTTGTGTTGTGTTGTTTTTGTGTTCCAGTTTTCTTCGTTGGTTTTTATGTTGATCCATGTGGTAGTCCGGGTTCGTTGCGGTGGTCGGTGGTCCAGATGTTGTGACTCGGTACGGGTTTTTGGGCCGGNCAAAAATGATAAAACTGGCAATGTCTTTTCTGTTTGAAGAATAATTTTCCCGATTTGTCTGATTTGTGGAATCATTTATGCTGGCTCTTATCTTCAAGGATAAATGGTGTAAGGTCATTTTTTTTAATAATACAAGACTTCGTATGAAATGCTTTTTGGAGGTTATATTTATATAAAAAATCAGTGAAAAACTCCTGTTGAATCCCAAAGAAAGAGTTGAAGTAGGCCAATTCATTCATTGCTGAAAATTTATGGTAGAAGGATGTGGCGTGATTTCTTTTAATTAAAAACCATAAATGGAGGTGAGTAGAAGTTCATATTTCGAAAATTGATTTCTTCTCTTGGACCTCCCGATTTTCACCTCTCTATAATAAGTGTTTAGTATTTTTCAAATAATTCAGATTATTGCTGCAATAATCCGGCAGGAAATTCTTGATATTGAGTATGACAAGAAGAGATTAGCGTTTATTAGAATCATTGTGAGATTATTTTATTACAATTTAGAATTAGTTTTGTTTGGAAGGAAGTATATTCACTATCATAACACTTGGTATAAAGATGGGATCAATAAACTCTTCTCAAGATTGTCAATAAGACAAGGAAATCCACATTATACGTGAGTTGAAAGAATTGAAGGATATGAACAAATAACTTTTTAGAGATAATTTGAAGAAAATATTGATTCAAAAAGCTACTACCCAATACAAGAGTTTCTTGGTAAAAAATTCACAGCATCTAATATAACAGAATTTATTTTATTTTATATATTTTATTGCGTTTGAAGTATATATTCTAATATTGAATCGTTTTAACTTGTATTCAATGTCGAATGTTTACAACATGTGTCTCATTTCCAAATATTTTCATACAGGGTCATCCCCAAAGTATGCACCATATAGGAAACTTATTTATTAAGGGTTTTTCGACAGAAAGTTATTCTTGATAAAAGTTTATGCATCCCCTAAAACTGAACATGCACCAACAAAATACAGTACAACACACGTAATATACGAGGAACCTTCAAATATTTGATTTTGTGACAAGAGTAAAGTACTCTTATTTTGAAAACTTTCGGGAAATGTTATTTAGAAAAGTTGTTGAGCATAACATCTAGATTTGAAGTCATGGCCATCTAACCGAAGTTTAATTTTTTATACTTTTTTTAAAAATCAGGACTATGAAAAAAAAATTGCTGAAACGATAATTAGACGGCATCCTGTAAACGACGGTTTATTTTAAAAGCCACGGTAAAATAATTATCAATTTTTTGGTGCAAAGTTATTNTCCCCAGCTTTATCCTTGCACCCACCAAAATATTTGTGATACTTAAAGGAAAGTAACTCATTTGCATATGAAGCCATTGGACTGATAACCCTGGCTATAATTTCATCTAATTCTTCATATTCCTTCCTATCAATCAGCAGCGACGATTTTTCCAACAACGATGATCTAGCCTGTATTATAACAGCAATATTCTGGTGAATATTTGTTGATACTTTCCAGGTTATTGTCAAATGATCAGGCCCTTTGCTTGAAGGCCTTATGATTACTTCCCCTTGATCCATCTTATTCATCAATTTTTCTGCTTTGTGATAGGTAATATTTTTGAAATAGGCATGAAAGCTGAATTAATTTGTTAAACTGAATTGATTTGAGTATCGTCGATCTTGCAATGTTTCTTTTTTTTCGCACAAAATTATTATGCTATTTTTAGGAAAAATGGCATAATATTTTTTTATCAATTTTAAGCGAATATATTCAAGTTGAGAGTTGAGTTTAATTGAATACAGTTAACTAGTTTAATGATCCAATAATTTTTCTGAAAAAAAATTGGTTGTGTAACAGGATCAATTTTTTCTTTAAAAAAATTGTTTTCTTGCCGACGTTTCGAATTTGAATATTTTTTTCTTCAGGGTGAAGTAGTTTTTTCGTGTTGATGATACTATTTTAAAAACCGTCAGACATATTAGATACGTATCTAATATGAAAAAGAATTTTATTAAATTCGAAACGTCGGCAAGAAAACAATTGCTTTTTTTAGGAAAAATTGATCCTGTTACACAACCAACCTTTTTTCAGATTAATTGAATACATTTGAGGAATGAGATCTTAGGTGTCAGGTGTTATAAATACTGATCCTGTCTTTATACCGAGTGTTATCATAGTAGATATCCTTCCTTGCTGTCAGATTATCATTTTCATTCATAATATGTACGATTGTAGAAAAAATATACCGGGTGTCCCACATTTTATGTGACAGGCAATATCTGGTTTGTTGAAGGAGATACACAAAAATGTTTCATACAAAAGTTTTAGGAGTTCATGAGAGCTATATTTTGATATAATTTTTAAATATACAGG